AAGACACCCTTCCAAAAGTTAGGTTTAGGTTAGGCACTCAAAAGAGACTCTTTGAAAAAATTAGGTTTGGGTTGGACGCTCAAAAGACACCCTTCTAAAAGTTAGGTTTGGGTTAGACACCCAAAAGACGACCTTTTCCCCCCTCGGGGGACCCCCTGGCCAAATTTTGCAGCCCGTCAAAATGGGCTGTCAAGATGGCGGCCCGTCAGAATGAGCTATCTTTACTACTGTCCTGCAAACTGAATAAAGTGTAACACAATAGTAACAAAATTGATTTTACATACACTACTTTAATAATCACCTCCTACAGTTGTGGATAGCTTGAGAGTGCACAGTAGAGACCAAAGTGCAAATAAAACCTTTTACAAGTTTTTACTTACAGAATAATTGGAGTTGACTGGCTTATTTAAAAGAGGTATGCCAAACAGGAGTATAAAACAAGGAAATTTGGGAAAGATCAAGAGGAAAAGAGAGGGGGGAGGGGGCAGTACAGAGATCATGTCACAAACACACAAATTAAACAAAACAAACCACAAAAAATCCACAAGACAGAGAGACAAAAATGCCAGTTCAAAATTCAAAGGGATAACATAAAATTCAATAAAACATTGCAATAAAAATGTCAGATTCACTTAGTAGGCAGCATAAGGACATACCAGAATACAAAAGGCACAAGAACACTCATAAACACAACATAAATTCACACACATTAAAGTACAGGCACAAATTGCAGCAAAACCATGAACAAACACTTTTAAAAAACAAGGGAGCAGAACAGAGCAATGAGAGGGAAAAACACAGCACACGAGAAACACATACAAGTAGTTTAGGCACAAATTGTAGCAGAACCATGAGCTATCAAACACTTTCAAGAAACAAGGTTGAACAACAGCACAGGAGAACAGCAAAATAATAACCAGAACATGACAAAGACACATTCAAAAGAACATCCTCAAACATTGACATTATAATGGGCACTTCAAATTCATTATACAGAAAAGGAATGGCAGTACACTGGAAAAACAAGTGTGCAATATTTGCACACCAACGTGTGCAAGTTGTCATTTTGCACATTACATGGTGTTTAACTCAAGTTGCACACTTGCGTGGTGTGCAAATTTTAGACGTTTTGTAAACGTTTAAATGCTGCACACTTGGACACACACAGTTCTATGCTGTCAATAGGGAACCATACGGTGTGCAGCTGCTATACGTTTCGGAAGTGTCGAAAGTTTAAACACCAATTGACGTATAACATAGTTAGACACCACATAGTGTCGAGAAAATGCACACTTGAACTTAAACGTCAATTGACGTGCAAAATTCAACACTTGTATTACCAGTGTAAGGGAATTCACTTGTAATCAGAGTTCGAGGCAGAGAAAGGGCAGGGAGGTGGCTGGGGTGAGATGCACGTTTCTTTTAACGATTATGGGGAAGAATTAGTGCCAGTTTGTATGACAGCATGTTTAAATAATTTTTAGCCCCCTAAAGATTAAAGTTATTTAAATAAAATTGAAGGAAGCTTGACACCATTTGGACTCGTGTGTGCAAACTCAAACTACCCTTTTCTTTTGCTGAAATTGTTACTATAGGTGGTGGTAGAGGAATGTCTAAAACTTGACAATGAGTAAAAAGAAAATAGAAGGGTACTTAGCTTTGGCATACCACGCTCACAACCGAGGGAGGCAACGAGCGTAAGTGAGTGGGTAGATCCGCCAAATTGACACTTTGCTTGGTTGGCTGCCTGTAAAGAAAACGGTTCAGTTAGTTGTTTAAATCTTGAGGTGCTTATTCAAGAGATATAAACAGAAACTTACGTCATACCGAAAAAGAGGATGAAGGAGTTCCTTAAACGGCTTTCAGAGAGAAATTAAAGAGAGAAAGCTGTGCGCATTGTTCACAGGAAGACATCAATTTCAGCAAAGCGCAGGAAGTTCTCTCTCAAACGAAAAGGAAAAAATGTGCGACACAACTTCGAGTCCTGAAAAGGTAAAGAGAAAGTAAAACTTACAATCGTAACTCTCAGAATGCATAGTTTAGGTCAAAATAAAACAGAGCAATACGTGCCAGCAATGTGGGTGTTTCGTTGAAATCCATATCCCTCATCGAATAAAT